ATTCCTGGAAAAAGATGAAGGAAATAAAACAACCATGTTCCTGCGAAGGGGAGATTTGGGGAAGAGAAGAAAGCAGCCTTCTCTCTGCTCTTCTCGGGTGAAATTTGGAGCAGCTTGGGCTGATTTAAAAAAAATAATCATGGCCCAAATGAATCCTCTTTGTCTTAATAATCATGCTGTGACCTTGCTAGCTTGTAGGTTCAAGAGTAGTCAGTGCCAGGGGCAGAAAAATATAGTAGCTCAGTAGAAAAACTTCCCATTCAGGGCTATGAGCTCTGCAGATTTAACAGGCAAAAGAGGTTACCTTCCAGGGAACAGTTTTGGTTTGATACTTGGTTATTAAACTGCTTCCTGTTGTAGGGAATGCAGTGCTGTTAGTGTGGTGCAAAGTTGGAGCCCTCCCTCTGCCCAAGATGCCTTCTTCATGCCTGTAAATGGCTGAAAGGGAAGACAAAGGGATTTTCAGAAGGCCACTGAAAAACAGACATCGCCTTTAGACTGGGACTGATGACTGGGATGTGCTCTGTGGACAGGGAATCCTTTTGAAGTGAAAGGATCTGGGCACATACAGTAGTGATTTTTGCTCTGAAGATGCTACTAGTTGCACTGTTAGCAGCTGTATAAGGAGAGCTGACTCTTGTGAAGTTGAGTTACGTTTCTTTAGCTTGTAAGCCTTGAAGGGCAAGGCCTATCCTTGTGTATGTGGATTCTTCAATATGCTGATGCTGCTACTACTACTAAACCCATTCTCAACCTACCACGCTCTTTGAAAAGCAATAGGAAGTCTGTTATTGCCACTGCCAGGCCTCTTGCCAGGATCTTGTATTGCACCACCTAAGGTCGACATTCCTGTAGATGACACCAGGCGTGTATTTGGACATGCTGTTTTCCTTCAGCAGTGCAAATACAGGAAAAAAAAAAGGAGATGAATTAAAATCAAGTTCAGGTTTCTGAAGAGCTTATTTCTGCAGTGAATCCGCATTTGAATGAAAGTAGCACAGCTACTTTCATGGGAAGATTCTGGCCACGTCCTGCCAAAAGAGATAGGAAAAGCTCTTCCCCGGTCTGGTCTTCAGAGTGAGCCTGCAACACACTACAGAAAGACATATGTAGTAGTTCGTAGTCTGCAACAGACTACAGAAGGACATGTCTAGACTGATGCCCTCTCTCTGCATCTGTCACAAAGGTAGAAATCCTCTGTGCTCTCTAAACAATCATGGCCCTTCCAGCCCCTGAGTGAGAGCTGGGAGCAAATCTTAGTGCTTGTTAGAGAAACCAGAAGCAGTTAACCGCTGAAGTTACTTGTTTATTTTTGAAAGCTTTACATGGAAGAGACTTAATCTCTGAAGGAGTTTGGAGCTGATACACGCTCTGACTGGTTTCTCTTGAGCAGGCTGGAGTTGTTACCATTATAGGGTTGTCTCATTATAGGGTATAGTCACTAGTGGCTTTGTGTGCTGACACTAATGACTTCATATACCTCTAGACTTGCTAGATTGTTCTCTAAAATAAAACCTGTGCTTGGCCTGATCTTCCTTCTGTCGCTGAAACTTTTTAGCCATCTTTGGCTAAACATCTCTTTAGCCATTCAAGTGACCAGACTTACCCCTGTGTCAGAAGTGGATGACTTGGGGATTATGCAATAGTGGCTCTTCTAATATAAGTTCAGATCATCCATTTGCTTTTCTGCCTCGTTCTAGATGCAGCATCGAGTCCTTCCAAATTGTTTTTCCCAATGCGGGTGAGCACCTCAGCCTTCAAAGGGTTCGTCCTCTTCCCACACTCGTACAGAAGAGGGCACACAACTTGCTCGCAGGATGCAGAGAGGGAAGTGACACTGACTTAGCAGTGGTCACTTGGGGAGCAGGAAACTGGGCAGAAGACTGCAAAGTTCCTAGCCTGTGCCCCAACAACTTACAGCAGCTTGTAAGAATGATCATTTGAACGTCAGGCAGTACCAGAGTTAGAAATGGGAGTCCAGGTTGGGATGGGTAAGATGGCTGAGGAGAGAAAATGGCACTCTTAAGGAATAAGTTCTCTGCAACAGGGACTGTGTTTCTTCACAGTTGTCTGTAGCAGTGCTCCCTTGGCACCTAGTGGAGGAGGGCTGTCCTCTGTGCCTCTGAGCCTGCTGAAATAGTGAGGTACAGCGGAAAAAGGGATGTCTCTAGTCCCTGTCTCCCTATGAGCTTTGGCCATGCTTTTTTTGGTTAAATGTTGTCAATCCAGAGAAGCCATCTACCTCCCCTGTCGCAGCCTCCCTAATGCTACAGGCTGCTGTGTTCTTGGCCCACTTTGCCAGGCTCTGAACAAAACTTAGCCTCCCTAATGATGACTTCTACTGACTGCTTTTGCTGCAGTCCCAGCCTTTCTGCTGGCTGTATTTGAGGTTGTCCTGATGTTAACACTAGGCTTGCATTAAGTAGTGCTTGGAGGGAGGTGAGGACTCTAATGATTACTAGAACTTGAGTAAATTAATTCATGCGTTGACACCTATGTAGCAAGCTTGGAGTGTGATGTCCTATGTCTGTCTTCTCTGACTGTGCCCTGACGATCAGTCTCCATACGATCTGTGCCTCCAGCCTATCACCTTGGAAGAAGTGCACAAAATACCCAGGCTGTGTTCATCAGCTGGCTTTTATTGTTTTTCCCTGAGTGCCTTTTCAGTTGATCTGAAGCCAGTCCCAACAGATCCAGCAGGATACATAGTTTTGTTTACAGTGGACCGTCACTTTTGTTTTTACTCTTGCTCTTTGTGGAAGTAACTTGTCTAATGTTACTGTGAATATCAAGAATCCCTTGTAAATAATTAGCCAATAAAATAGATTGCATTTTACCATGGTGTATGTGTGTTTTGGAAATAACCCTCAAAGCAGAGACTGCAGCTAAAGTGGAGGCCAGCAGCTTCTACTGAAACATTCAGCAAGTGACTCCAAGAGTAAGTGCCTGGTTTTATGAACTAACGACCAGTAGCCAGGCAGCTCCGGTCTGGCTTTCTCCAGCCCCTTTTCCCTTGCACTACTCTCCTGTGCCTGTTGTGACAAAGCGAGTGTGCAGCAGGGGCTAAGTGTCCACCTTCCTGTGGTTGGGGATTAGAATAAGGAGCAGCATCTTCTGAGCCCATGGCTGGCCCTGAGCAATAACTCCTGAAACTGCTAGAATGGGAGTGCTGGAAATTAGTAATGCGTAAGTAGCTGTTTGTTTCTGTTTATTTAAATTTTGCTGAGTGTGGCCAAGGCTGAGATGGAAAAAGGAACTAGTGCCTGCCTGATCTGCTTTCCAGTACAGAGGGAGAGGTCAAAAGACAAAATTTGGGGCAGATGTGATAATAAACCCACTTGGTCGTGGGAGATGTCTATATACAGCAAGGAATACTGAAGCTCCCCTCACCCCGCCCCAGAGTTTTATTCCAGGTTGCAGTCATCCACACAGGAGAAACAGGGGTTTGGGTTGTTTTTTGTTTCCATAAACAACCAAAGGGTGTCTGGAACTTCCTGCTGTTGCTCCTAAAATGTTTCCCTGTCGGATTTAGGCCATGCTGGGGATGCCTGCATAGCAGGGCAGTCCCTCATAATTTCACATGGTGTGAGACGGGAAAACCAGCTCTGTTCTAGTCAACATTGTCACTTCTTCCAATCTGAAGAACGGTTTGAAGAGGTTTAAGTTTTGTACATTTCTCCAGCCTGACCTGAAATTTGATGCCTCATACAAGGCTATAGCATGAAGTCAGCAAGTCAAGTTTAGAGCACAGGAGTCCTAAAACATAACTCGGAGGCAAAAATATTTCTTACATTTAGAAATCAACCATCACTTTTTTGCATATGCCCAGGGCTGTGATCAGTAACTGCTAGGTAGGTACAGCCCCTTCAAGGAAGCTATACTGAATGTTTGATTTTAGGAACACGTGTCAGGTGGATTATAAAGAGCAGCATGAGCAAAAACAGTAGCCGAGGTTTCACATGCCCTGGAAAGGAAGGCATGCCCTGTGAACTCAGGCAACGTGAGTTTGGACTGTGGGCTGAAGTCAGAGAAGGAATTGGAGTTGTTTCACTGAAATTAGCTTCTAAAGAGATTCAGTCTTCTTTTGTGCTGGAAAGCAGGAGACTAAACTGAGCATAACATGTCAGAACGGGCTTTTCTTTTTTTATGAAAAATTCAATTAGACACCACTGGGAGGAGAAAATAAGGGAAAATTTGGCACTGCAACAGAGAGGAATGGGTTTTGAGGAACTGGAGTTTCGAGACAGGATTGGGAGACTGCAGTGAGATGATCACTGAAAAGGGTGAAAGGTGCGCGTGTTGAACTACAAGGTGAGCATTTCCCTGGAGGAGGAACAGAAGCAGCTAGAAGGGCCGAAAGCGTGATGCAAATAAAACGTCAAAACTAAAACCTCAGAAATTACAGCATGTGACCTCCCTGGACGGCATGGAGAGAGGGTGCTCCTCCATTTCCAAACATGACAACACTCCCTTCTTTCCACAGGGAAAGGTTGTACAGTGGATGGCAGAAGCAATTAGGGAGGCAAATAGATACTGAAAAATATCAATACCAATAAAGAGCATTCTTTGCCCCTTTCCTTATCCCTGTGTAGGAATAACTGTCACTGCCCAATCTTTGCTCGTGAGCAAACTTTTAAGCACAATAAAAACTTTCCCCTAGCCCTACTATTATGCAAGTCCTACAGTTGCATAAAAAGAGAGTCTGAGGGGAATGTGCCAGCATCTCTGCACAACCTTCCAGTCCGCTTCTCCCTTACCAGTGCTTACAGTCCCCATGTCTCTTTTTTTAACATGGCCAACGCTATCACTGAAGTGGATCGTCCTGAACCCGTCCAGGTTTTGATTACAGCTCTGGTACTGCTCAGTTCTATCACATTCATGCTTCTGCCAGGTTTCTCCAGCCAATACTCCGAAGTCAATACATGCACAAATAAAACAGCTGCCATGCATGCGAGTAACTCTCAATAAATACCATAGAGTCAAAGTTGCACTGTGTGTACTTGAATTCATTAGGCTCGGTTACAGAAGATGGGAGCGTTGCCAAATTCACAGGGCCAAGGGCTCCACAGTTCAATCTTTAGCACTGTATTAAAAAGATTGTCAAGGAATTTGCATACAGTTTGTCAACCTGGGATATCAACTCAAGACTGTCTGAAGTAGGTAAACAGCAAGGCTGGACTGGAGAATAAACAGCAGGGAGAAAAACAGCAGGGACTGAGTGGTAGTAGGTTGTGGAATATCCTCTCAAGGGAGATGCCTGGAACTTTGTCACTTGAGACATTGGAAATATAACTGGTTACTGCACTAGAAGATGGTAAAAAAACAATCCCCTACAGGAGTAGGGAAAACTTCCCATTCCATCTTTAAGTCCCATGTGGATGTTTTGATACAGGCACTGCGGCTTGGCAGCCTGCTCTGCCTCCTTCCCCAGGCTGGAGGGAACAGAGAATCTTTTAAACACTGACAGCATTGACTCCTTCAATTTTTTATTTTGCTTCCTTTAGGTTGGCTGGCTACACGCTAGACTCCTCCTCAGGGCACTACATTATCTTACTTTTTAATTTTGTACCCATCTAACTGACAGGGGTACCAGTCACAGCTATAAATTAAGGTACTTGCTAGTCTGTCACTATCAGAAATGAATCCATGTTTGCATGTGACACTGTCTATAAGGAGATGTGTGGTAACCTTTGATCCAAGCAACAAACACCTCTCGCTACATAGCGATGCAGCTAGCACGACCCACTCGCCAGGTCTGAATGGAGGGGAAGGAAATAAATTTAAAGGAAAAAAAATGCTTAATCAGAAACTATGGAATACTGTTCAATTTCCACGTGCCTAGCGTGTTCTGCTGCGTTTCATTCAAAGGAAAAAATCCACACCCTGGCTGTGCCACTGGCTGTAAAGCAGCTCTACAGCCATCTGTGAAACATGTTCGGGACTAGTCCATTTTAACAGCCATGGCGGGCTTCCTTCCTGGCCTTCTCAGAAGAAGATAGAGCGGTGTCTGTGAGAAGTTTTGCCAGTTGGACCCCGATCCATGACACCCAGTATCTTTATTCACCCAGAGCTGTAAAACACTAATTAGATACTCTGCAGCACCCTTCCTCTTGGCAGGGAGGTCGCAGTCTTGTAGAGCTGACGGTTTCAATGAATACATCCCGCTGGCTCAGTTTTTAAGATAACTAAATCAAAAGATCCCCAAAACCTCTTTCCGCAGAGGCAGCGTTTTACCCCCTCAGCGTAACAGGGCACCTGCTCAGTCCCCGGTTCTCGCACACGCGAAGCAAACGTTGGTCTCGGCGCCTCCAACCCCCGCTCTCCACCGCCAGCGAAAGCAGCTCGCACGCTTAAAAAAAAAAAAAACATATTTATTTAAAACAAAATAGTTAGCCAGGGGCCATTCACAGGCTGGTTAAGGAGGAAAATTAAAAAAAAAAAATCAAGAAAATCCCCAAAATAACAAGAAAAACCGGTCCAGGGCTCCGCCGGCCCTAGAACTCGAAGGTGCCGAAG